AAAAAAATCGTAAAAACTTGAAAACTTTCGTAAAAACTTGAAAAAGCATTAAATTACCCCCCTCAAAGACCTCACACGCATAGGAAACTTGTTTCGCTCATCCAACGATGCAATTAAGCTGACTAAGTATAAACCAAAAAAAAAATCCGATTAAAAAAAAACCAAGAAAAACGAAATTATACCGAACCGGAGTTGATTAATTTAAAACAACATTAAAGAAATATTGAAGAGAACGGGTACTTGAAATGCAAGCACATTCAAAAAAGGGCTGTTGGTTGACGGAAGTGGTTGACGAAAGTGGTTGACAAAACGGGAACTAAGTTGGCAAAAACAAAGAGACGGAAGATAGTCCCAAAAAGCAGGAAACTTCTTAAAAAAACAGGTCGCGGTCGGATTCGAACCACAAGACTTTGTTGTCTGCAGCAAGTGTGTTATCTTCAGGCCAGATGCGCAGGATGGTTGAGTGATTTTCAATTTATTATAAAGCAAGATGGAACATGCGCGAAATCTTGTGAGAAAAGATGTTTACGGGGAAAAAGTCAAAGTATCCCAGTTAAATAAGCATTTAGTATGGCCTCTTAAACATCCGAAAACCTAAAAACTTACTTTTACACTTGAAACGACGAATTAGGATGACTAAGGCGATAAAACAAAAAAAAACGAAACCAATTAAGCAAAAAATATTCCATAGAGGAAATGAAGCCGACTAAAAGAGTGAGAAGACAAACGATTGTCCGAAGTATTTCCAACAAGTGTAATTTAAAAAATCGAAAAAAATCATGCCGAGATTTGAAATTATCAAGCAAAAAAAATCATGCTGTTTGAGTTTAGCCCAAAAAAATAGGCAGACAGACAATAATCTAACGATTCTTGTTTCATAAAAAAAAGACTGTCCCTGGAGAGGCTCGAACCACACCTGTTGAATCAAGCAGGGTTCTAGCTTGAATAATGACTATTTGCTGGAATTAAGGCAAAGCTTATCGATTTATAAACTCTGTTAATAAGTATCGATTTACAGACATCTAAGTGAAACCTATGCGTGACAAAGACACTTCGCAAGTTTTCCAGAAGTGAAAACGCGTCGTTAAAACCACACAATATACAATTTTGCATTTCTGTGTTATTTCAAAGTAATTTAACAATTTTTGCTTCGGCTAGCTCTTTTTAGCTATTGGAGCTAATAGTTACCAATACAGTAGCATCTAGTTGGAAAAGCAGCTTCGATGTAGACAAAATCACTTTGAAAATTAGAAGGCAGACTTAATAAGACGGCAAGAAATATTACGATAAATTGTTTCTCCTCGCCGAAAATTTGACGGATTGATTATACGCGAAAAACACAAAAATACCTTTGCGCCTTATAGTTTTATATGATCATAATCCCAAGTAATGAGATAATTAAAAATTGCTTCAGTCCGAAAGTTTCAAAAATTTAACCCCAAGTGATTCACAGGAAATTCAAGCAAATAAAAATCTATTGAAAAATTAAACCAAGTTGAATCAATCTTTTAAAAAACTAAAATAAGCTTTTCGGCCTTAGCTGAGAAATGAGTCATACGACGAAAACATTAATAACAAAAAACTAGACACGATTTCATTACAAAGTTACCTTAAAAATCTTAGATTTCGGAAAGCTCAATTGATCAAAAAATCAACTCCCGTAGCTTGCATCATCAAGTTCACATTATGTTTCACAAAAATAATCTGCATACGCGATACGATTAGAGCTGGTACTTTTGTAAGTCGCAACCTGAATAAACTGGAAAAGAAATTGAAAAGATAATACCAAAAAACTGCTTCAAAAACACAGAAAATTTTGAAATGAGTATAAAATGAGACAAACACACGAGTAGCATGTAACGCACCTCCGGTACATCAAACATTAATTAAAGTGAAAAATGCTTATGTAAAATATATGAAAAACAATGAAAGATATACAACCGTAACAATATACGGGGCATCTAACAACGATTTTGATTTGAAAAATTGAACGATAAATAGTTTCAAATTAAAGGTTTTATTAAAACTAAAATGGCCAAACTTCCAAAATTAATGGGTTTGAGATCTTCGTATTTTGAATTCAGAAGCAAAACCCATGGAAATACAGTATACAACTGCACTTTCCATATTTAACTATTTCATTGGCAATATCACCAAACTCATGAATGTACGTATATCGTTTGCTACGATCAATCCAGCGCAATATCATAAAACGTCAATATCAAAAACTTGAGCCATTCAAGCGATGCTACTTGGATGGAGGTCACATCTAAAGCTGCTAGTAGTTACCATACTTCACCCCATTGGACAATTTCAAATTTTGAAAAGTTTTTTTTTCATTAAAAATTTTGAGATCACAAAATTGTCATATCTACAAAACAGAAATGCGGTAAACAGTCATATTTGGAGTCCAGATATGAACTTCTGAGGGTACCTTGACAATACCCCACCGCCGTGTTGAGAAGTTCAAACATTGCTATTATTTTTAGACTACGTTTTTTTAAGTTCAGAAAAAACCTAGAAATTGCTTATCTCGGAAACTAAGATGACTTGATATGTCAATTTCATAAGAAAGAATCGCAACCTCTAAGATTACTCTGAGATCATCCCATTATAAGGTTGTTCATTAGGGATTTCGTGAATGTTTTTTAAACCAAGTTTCTTGAAAAACTTTTTCAAAATTATTGAAAAAACGTCGTGTCTCGGAAACTAAAATCTCTCCAGGAGACACATTCTGAGGAAAGATTTGCAACACCTGAGAGTACCCTGGCGTAAAACTTCTAGATCAGTTTTGAAAAATTTTCTAATCATCAAAAAACGTCATATCTCAAAAACTAAAATCATTTGAGCAGTCACATTAATGGGCAAGAATTGCAACCCCTGATTGTACCCTGATAGCACTCAACTACCTGGTTCCAAATTTAAAATTTTGTAAATCTAAATTTTCTTAAACCTTGAAAAAATCAAAAAAAAAACGGCACACCCCGGAAACTAAGCATTTGAGCAGTGACATTTAGACGAAACAGTTTCAACTCCTGAGAAACACTGTTGCCAACTACAGGGTTGAGAATTTCAACTTTTTTGAAACTGTTGAAATCAAGGTTTACTGAAATTTAAAAAAAAAGTGACAAAAAACGTCATATCTTGAAAACTACAAAAATTTGAGCAATAGCAATCATATTTTGAAGCAAGATTCGCGACCCATGAGGGTAATCTGACACACCCCAAATACAGGGTTGAAAACTTTGGAGAAAATCACAAAAAACGTCATATCTGGAAAACAACAAAGATTTGAGCAGTCATATTTAGAGGCAAGATTCGTAACACCCTGAGAGTAACCTGACAGCTGACAACTACAGGGTTGGGAATGTCAAACTTTGAAGAAAAAACTTGAAATTAAATCTTCTGAAAATTTTTTGAAAAATCAAGAAACGTCATATCTCATGAACTAGAAGTATTTGAGCAGTCATATCTTAAAGCAAGATTTGCAACCCTTGAGAGTAACCTGACAGACCTCACAATAAAGATGAAAACTTCAAATTTATTGAAGTTTTTTTTATATCAAATTTCGAAAAATTTTAAAAAGACAGAAAAAAAACGTCACAACTTGGAGCAGTCGCATTTGAATGCAAGATTTGCACACCTGAGAGTACTCTCACAGTACACAACCACAAGGTTGGAGTTTCAAATTTTGTATAGTTTTAAAATCTAAGTTTTCAGAATCATAAACGTCAGATCTCGAAAACTATAAGGATTTGAGCAGTCATATTTGGAGGCAAGATTCGCAACCCTTGAGTGTACCCTGAAAGCACCCAACTACACGTTTGGGATTTTCAAGTTTTGTCAAAGTTTTTTAAGTTTTCTGAGAATCTTTGAAAAAAATCACAAAAATCAACGTATCTCGTGAACTAAAAGGATTTGGGTATTCTTAATTGGGTGCCTATTCCGCAACCCCAGGTAAATCTTGACAACATCCCACTTTTGGGTTGCTAATTTCAAACTTTGTGAAGTAAACACTAAATTCAAACTGAAAAATTGATTTAAAAAGCTTAAGATATAGAGAAGCCCACATTTAAATATATGATAGATAGATAGGTATTACACAGGTAGAAGATAACAGATAGCTAGATATAGATTAATCCATTTTACGTCACCTTATTTTTGTTTCAGTAAACTTAGTTCAAATAAATTAGCACCTAGCTCAGAACTGAAAATTGCTTTACTGTTTAAATATCTACTTGCATTCCAACATATTATTCCCTGAATAATTAACTTAAATCAGAGAAGTTTTTGCTGACATTCACCACTTAGAGACAGAGAAATCCCAACTATATTGGGTTGCGTGTACCTTATTATCTTCACATATATCGTTTGGAAAACGAAGATATTTTAAATCGTCACAGCTGAGTAGCATTTCAGAGGAAAACAATATCATTGAGAACTCCTTAAAAAGGAAAAGGTACAAAAATAGCTCTTCCAGAATATGTATTTAAAAATACGGATTTTTCCTTAAAAATAATATATAATTTATGGGACAATGGAGATTCACAAGGTAGCTAAACGAAAAAAATAGCTTCCTGTCAACGACAAAAAAGGCTATGTTTGTTTTATGACCATGCTGATATTATGAAGTCCAACACATTCGTTGGTCTCTTGCTTAAATCGAGAGCTACAATTCAGGAGAGATTGCAATTGATACACAAATAAGAGGGCTATTCTCACCTTCGAAGGTACAAATGTTGTAAAATAGATTATCCATTCAACTGTTTTCATTTAATTGTCCTATTCTCTCCCAGATTTTTGAAAACACAATTCAAATTTGCCCAAAAAATTTTAGGCAAATTAGTCACTCTGTCATAGGGGATTCGGATTCCCCCAAAACTGCAGCACCGATTTTACCCCGCCTTGTGCTTGTCATTTGGAGACCTATATTATTGTTGAAGCCAATACGGTAAGAGCGTGCGTAAGCCAAGCAAAAGGCACAGCGCACTAACACAACGCCAAGTAGAAGTAAAATTTCATTTCCTCCTATTCCAACCAAAATTCGGTTCGCAGAGAATTCGCGTTAACTGCTGTTTGTGACGCATTTGAGCGTCTCATTTTGTAAATAATTTCAGCCCAGTATACGATATTGAACTGAATAAAGTTACCAAGTTGAAATTTTTCAAGCCTAAAATTTACATTTTTTACGGCTGGGGAAAGAGGCGCCTTAAAATTGGTAATTGTGGATTAGTAAAAATTGTGGATAAGTCAAAATAACGCCAATATCTTGATTTAATTTCGACTCTTGCTTGCTTTGAAACTTTTTTGACAACAAAAATTATCAAACGCAATCGAAAGACTGAGAGAAACAAAGAGAGCGACATTTACCCCCTTTTTGCAACTCTTCTGGTTATTAACCGCTGTATAAGATAAAAAAAATGAAACGATGAAATCAACAAATACCAATTTTTGACTATATATTAGTATTTTTGACAGTCCCACAACAGTTCGAAAAAATTCTTTCTTAATTACACTCACTACAAAAACTGTTTATGAGTTCAGTTATTACTTTTCACGTGGTTTTTTGTAACTTTTATACTAGCATTTTCGTCAATTGCCCGTACTTGACATCATCTGTTTCTTCAACGTTTAGCCGCTATTTTTTCAACACACGTTGCTAGCATTCAAATTTTTTTTACCAGAACCATGTCCAAAATGCAAATGCAGTGAATTTAAGCTTCAAAAGACCAATCTAAATGAGCCTTTTCAATACGTTAAGGTCCATTTAAAACAGTTCGAAAAAAAACAGGAAAAATGGAAATACAAATTTTAGAGTCGGAATATTAATATATTTTTTCTCCTTTTCTCTAGTTTGAATGACAGATTGAACAACAATTGGGATTCAAACTTATTATCCTCAGGCCGTTAATTAATATTACCTTTTTATTGAAATTTGTTGGCCAAATTATTTGACGTCTAATTTGCTATGCCGTCTGAAAATGACGTTCAGGATGACCAGGAAAACGAGGAAAAAGGTTCTTCTAAATCAATTGATCGTGAAGGTCGCGAAACGTGGAAAGGCAGCTTTGATTTCCTCATGACCCTTATAGGATTCAGCGTCGGAATTGGAAACCTTTGGCGCTTCCCATACCTTTGTTACAAGAACGGTGGCGGAGTGTTTCTAATTCCATATTTCATCACCCTCTTCGGAGCAGGGGTTCCTCTAATCTTCCTCGAAGTTTCACTTGGCCAGTTTATGTCCAAGAGTGGAACGTCGGCTTGGAACCTCTTCCCGTTGGCCAAGGGTCTAGGAGTCTCCACATTGATAATAGTGAGTAACCTTAGTCTCTATTACATTGTGGTCATTGCATGGACTATTTATTACCTCTATTCTACCTTCACTTTCGGTGAACTTCCATGGACCAAATGCCCTCTAGACTCCAATGAAACAAACTGCCGAGACTCTCAGTCGCTTGCTAACCAATCAGATTCTGGCAATTTCAGAACTTACCAAGAACCAGCTGAATTTTTCTGGACCAATAACGTACTGCGAATATCGGACAGCATGGAACTCGGGGGGTCCATTCATCCTCATATGGTTATCTGCCTGGCCATCTCGTGGGTCATAGTATACTTGTGTATTTTTCGTGGCGCTCAATGGACTGGAAAAATTGTCTGGTTTACAGGCCTGTTTCCATACTTCATGCTTATAATTTTATTCATTCGAGGAATTACTTTAAATGGCGCGATGGGTGGAATCATTTACTACCTCAGTCCTGATCTCTCAAAACTCAAAGAAGGCGGGGTTTGGCTTGACGCCGGAACTCAGATCCTCTTCTCAATGTCTCTAGCTAATGGAACCATGCCGACGTTGGGGAGTTACAACAAATTCAAACACAACTGTTTGAAAGACGCCCTTCTTTTTTCTCTCATTAACTGTCTGACAAGCCTCTTCGGAGGAATATGTATTTTTTCTGTTCTCGGTTACATGGCCTATGAACAAAACATCCCAATTTCTGAAGTCGCAGAAAAGGGACCTGGACTGACCTTCATTGCGTATCCGAAAGCGCTATCTTTGATGCCTTTCGGAGCCAAGATATTCACCGGTTCTTTCTTTCTCATGATTCTGTTCCTCGGCTTAGACAGTCAGTTTGTAGGCGTGGAAGGACTTGTTTCTCAATTGATGGACGCTTTCCCTAACAAATACTTCCGACACAAACACGCCAGGACAATTCTTATCACGCTCATTTGTCTTCTATTCTACGTCATCGGGCTTATTTTTGCAACCACTAGTGGAATGTATTACTTCCAGATAATGGACTTTTATTCGGCCAGCGGATTTGTCTTGATTTTTGTCGGCCTAGGCGAGTCTCTTACCATCGCTTACTGCTACGGAGGCAAGCGGTTTGTCAAAGACCTTGAAGCTATGATGTCGATTCAAATTCCGAAATACTTTCTTTACTGCTGGTACTTCTTTACACCTCTGACATGTATCTTTATCGGCGTCATGTACTGGGTCCAGTTCGAACCTTTGGCGTACAATAACTACGAGTATCCTGTTTGGAGTTCGATTCTAGGCTGGACTATTGTCGTTTTTACAGTCGGCGCGATTCCTCTCGTGGCGCTAGTACAAATGTGCCGACATCGTAACAACATTGCCGACGTGAAACGAGCAGTGCTTCGTGAGCACCAGATACACTCGGGGTCCGAGCAACCCTATGAGGTCATTGAGCGAGAAGCTGCTTTATTTTCGGGGAGTTTCGCGGCTATAGAGCTAAACAGTCCGGGTGAACATGAAAATGAAAATAATCCCTTTTCACAAGCAGTATAAAACAGGATACTATGCCTGACAAAATAAAATTATTGTTTTAAATTGAATCTAATAAATTGTTATCTGATTTTGTATCCGTGCTTCAGTAAATGTCTAAGCAGTAAATTGAATTTGTTTGTGTAACTGTCACTTTAAACATAAAAACGACACTTTACTTTGAAAAATTGCTGTTAAATTCCAGTTAACTGTATTTTCTAAACCGGTCATAAATTCAACAATGAAATTCATCTAACAACGGCGATAGCACGAAAATTGGGCTTCCATTTAGTCGGAAAACTGGTTCCTTTTAGGGACTTACTCATGTTGGTTGATTACTTCTTTTAATTAGGAAAGTTAAAATCAAACAAGAAATATCAATCTTATTACCCAGTGTTGTTGCTGTAGTTGCCAGTAGTATTAAATTTGTCATAATCGACAACAGTTATCTTCGAAAAAAAATAGCAAACAAAAAATGAATTATTTTTTTTATAAAAGTCTGTAATTTCTTGCAGAATTATTTATTTGATGTTTTAAAATTTTTTTTATTGCGCCGAAGCGCTAAATTAAGCTTCCAAGAATAGTTTTCCCGGAGTGAACAAAGTTTTTCAATACCTAAAGGAAAAACTTTCTTTCATAAGACATACTCGTTTTTAACTAGCTCGAAATTATACTAAAAATTTTGAACGTTTTTTTTTCACCAAGCGGAGACCTTTCGATAATTTTTCGACTTAGAATGTTTGACTTACGACTGAAAGAGCTTTACGATGATATATCAATTACGCGATGCATTTTGAAGATTATTTGTGGCACCCAGTAAAACACACCCGAAGACAAAGTTTCTCCCATTATCAATAATCGGAACAAAGGCAAATTATTTCTACAAAAATTTGATAAAATTATATCAAATTTTGATTTTTCGTTCTTGTTGACAAAACTTGCTATCAAGAGTAGTTTACGTCTTTTTTATAGTAAAAATTGATCTTCTTTGTGGATTTTTTGGTGCCAAAGAAATGCTAGATGTAAGTTTAAAAACTAGTTTTTTTAAGCTTAAACTTGGGTCTTTTTCAGCTAAAACTTCTCGCTCTAAATTGGGATAAACAGTATACATTTCGAAACAGAGGCTAAGTTGAGCTTCGCATTACTTGCGACATATGTCAAGAAAGCCGGTAAGTAAAAATGTCAACAAAACATGATCGATCAAAATTAATGTTTTTAAGTCCCCTGCCCTCGAAACATATATACACACAGGCACACAATTTATTTTTGCTCATCAAATGAAGCAATATTAATCCACTACGCTAATATAAAACCATCCGATACCTTGTAAGTCGGAAAAAAAAACACAAAAAAAAGAAATTTTAACATAACATCAACTCGATAAAAGCAATTATTAACCAGGATGGATATTTTAAAAGCTGACAAGCTCAAAAAATGTCTGTTGCAGTAAATGTCAAACAGAGATAAGTCTTGCGATATTAGATTCCAGAAGGTGAGTCCTTTGAACAAGGTTTTTTACGGGAAAAAGAAGTAGTACCCGGTTGCAATACCCTTCCTTATCGCAAAGGTAACAGAAAATTTTAGGAACACTTTGAAACCAATTGAACCACAACTGAAAGGGCTTTTACAAGATATCTTAATTGAACTCAGCTGATAATTAATTTTGGTACCTGATTTTGCTTGAAAAAATAGTAAAGTAAATTAACAGCCAAGATAGCGGGCAATTTTTTTCCAACTGCGAATGCTCAGTATTGATGCAACTTCATTGTTTGAAAGAACAAAACTGGTGCCAATTTGTGAGAGCATCGGTGCATATACAACAGAAAACACTAAGCTACAGGATAGCGAATGGAAAAAAAAGACAAGTAGAAAAAAAAGTTGAAAAAATTGCTTGGAAAATAACTTGAAATCGGAAGAAGTTCATAAACAGCCTTTAAGAATTTGTGAAAAAAAATGTTTTCAAAAGTTTTGAAAGATTTTACAACCCATCCAAACTGAAACACATAAACACATAATCGCATTTTACAACCTATCCAAACTGAAACACAGAACAGTCAGAGGGGAGCCGAGTTGTCTCCTCGATGCCCCCAATTCTCTTCATCCAAATTTGCAGTTCACTCTAGAGAAAACTAATTCGGAGGGGAATTTGCCGTTCCTGGATTTGAACATAAATGTATCGCAGGGTAGGCGTGTAACTTGCAGATGGTATCAAAAACCAACAGATACAGGGACTATACTGAACTATAGAAGCTGCGCCCCAACTCAGTGTAAGCGTAGTGTTATCCAAGGCACTGTACACAGGGTTTTTAGGAGTACATCTAGCTGGGAGCAATTTGATAAGGCTATGGAAACTAATGGAGGCTATGGAGGCTAACGGATTACGAAAATTAACTAACGTTCAAGTGGTTTTCACCACAAGAAAACTACAATCATGTTTACCATCACTGAAGTCAGCATTTTCTAATGACCTCAAGTCAAGAGTGGTTTATAAACTGTCATGTAGTGGATGCACTTCCACCTATGTCGGACAAACTGTTCGACATTTGACCACTAGAATTGAGGAACATAAGAAAGCAGACTCACCGGTAGGCCTCCAGCTTCAGCAATGCCAACTTGAGGGAAATAGCGCAGATCTTAGTTGGGAAATTATAGATAGGTCAAACAACCAAACAAAATTGCTAACACTAGAGGCAATACATATCAGGAAAGAGAAACCGGGCTTGAACACGCGCGATGAGTTTAGGAGCAGGGAGTTAACACTGAAAATTTAGTCCCAAAATATTTTTGGTTTCTCATTCAAACCGTACAAGTCTAAATCGAAATTATGACTCAGAAACTTCCAGACAAATTAATTTAAAAATTTTTAATCAATTTTAGAGGTTAAAAGTATTTTAATCTTAATAGTAATTTAGAGGTCAACTGTGATTGGCTAATTTTTTATCATGATGGTTTAGAACCAAAATGTATGTGATTTATTGTAAATAACATTTGTAAATTGATGTTTTATCGTCATTTAGAGTAGTTTATTGTAAAAATCCTGACGATGCACATAGTTGCGAAAACGTTTGAAATTTACTTTTTAGCAAAAATTTCTTTAATCGCATACAATTATATTTTGCCCGACAAGCTAGGACAACAACCACAAACACGAAAAAAACGAGAACATTTTTTTAAGAAAAAAAATCAGATACAAACTGAAACGGGCTTCAACTTATAACTACTTAATTGATATTAGTTTTATTTGAATTATCAAGAAATTGAGCATGTCACAAGATGACTGAGTCCAGGAGATGGATAAACCCTAAGTACAAACTTATTTGCGGAAAAAGTCTAGCACCCAATTGCAATACCCTGGCTTGTCGCAAGGGTAATTACATCGTTACCTTGATAATCTTAGATTTCGGGAAACCAAAAAATCAACTCCCGTAAGAAAATTTTGATGTTCATCATCTGAGCAATATGATTACACATAAGGATTGATACTTTCAAAATGTTCAGAATATCCAGTGGCCTAAACCCTGACTGCTGCCAAATATCGAGAACTACTTCAAAAAATCAAATGGTAAAAAGCTGTAACATTCGCCCGGAAGATACATATCAACGGAAAACAAAACTAAGTCTTAAGACGACTGGCTAACGTCTAAACAGAGCTTTGCATGCTTTTCACCGTCTCTACCAAGCCAGTACTTTCGGCGGTCTTTCCAACATCGGGTCGACAAAAACGTTACTGCTCTCCGGCTTCGACCAGAACGCTCAAATTAACTTAATTACATGCAAATAGTGAGCTCATGGCTGGGTCTCAGTATCCCCAGACCACGAGGTCACTCCTAAAAACAGGGCTACTATTTATTATATTACTATTGTTTTTGTTCAGTAGATAAAAATCATCATCTCCATCGAAGATGGATCAACCCTCTCCCCCAACTCCTAGCACCTCATCCTTGTCAAAACTAATCCAAATATCAGTTAAATTCAAGTCAGGACATGACAGGATGCTAAAAGTTCATATAACAGGCTAAAAGTTTCAGTCCCGAAACCCTTCCGGATTTGTGAATCCACTGAATCAAGCTCCTTAAGTTCGATTTCACGATAACACGGAAGGCTGGTTTTCACCCTTCACCGTTGCTCGCAACGGCCTTGCAACTATTGTAGCAGCACAATAGTTGCAACTCGGAACGTTCTCTGTAATTCGTTGTCGTTTTCTTTAATTTCGATTTTCGTTCTGTTCGCAATCACTGATAAAGTTGTTCTGTTTTTCTTAGTTCTTCCTGCCAAAATGGCCGTTTCTGACGTTTCTCAGAAATGTTACGTCATCACTTCGAAAATTTAAAATTTTAAAATACGGGAATATCCTGACCTTCACCGTTCTGCTAATCATCCGAATAACGTCGTTAATCCTTCAAAATCATTAACTCGGAAGGTTCACTGCTAAAATTTCGAAGTCTGCAGAGATTGCATTTTGTCCATTCTGGTCGAATGTCACACACTCCCCGGACAGTCCGGTCAATGTCCTCATTGAATCACGCAATGTTCGTAAAATAGATACAGTGTCATCGAACAGAATTTACAAAATGCTCGAAATTACTTTTATCCACGTCACATCGACTCACTGCAGAATATAAATGGCATCATACTACATCACTATAGCCTTCAAATTCTTTCATTAATCTGCACATTGAGGATATGACTTAAGATAAAACATATTTTCCGACCTCCAATGTCAATGTCCCGATTAAAACTTTTTCTCTTAGATTTAAAAGGTGTTGGCTTGCAGGACAGTCCTGCCAACCAACAAGCTAAAATTATCCTACTATGCTCCTTCTCTTCGGAAATCTTGCTTGTTATTGTCCTGAATACTAAAACTAAGAAACTTTGTGGTTAGAAAGAACAATGAAACAATCTCCCTCTTCGAGAGATTACTCAAGCCTTTCACGTCACCACAAAGTGATCAGTCTTCCTAAGTGATTAAAAACAATCATGCAGGCTGGAATATTTAAATATACTCTTCCCTTAAGCCTTTCTAAATAAATAATAAGTGAGTGTCTCTAAAGCCACTTCAACTAAAATCAAAATGCAAATTTATAAATGCAACAATTTCAAAACTCAACTAAATGTTTCAGTTTTCAATTACAACTTGGTTGCTTGGTTTCTCACTTGAGTTTTTCACACACATAAAACAATTCTGAGTTTCAACTTTTCTTCATCACTCCTTCGTTCTCTTCTTTTTTCGTCGTTTAGAAGTTCTAAAACTTCTAAATTCTTCTAATTTTCTTTCTTGTTGCCTCTTGTTTTCTCGACCATTCATCAATGTTCCATTTCTTCCTCCTGTGATACTGACTCCACACTTTCGGTTTCCGTGTCTTGTAGCACATCGTTGGCTATCCTGACGCTGTTGGAAGCCGTCCTCCAACACTTCTGCTCTTCTATTCTCTGTTTACAGCAAGGTAGGGGATCCAC